TTGTGGCCACCAAAAATCTCTTGATATGAGTTCCAGAGTCTTATTATATCCAAAGTGCCCTGCTGCTGGAAAGTCATGACGTGCTTGAAGAACACGCAAACGTGCTTTTCCTTCTGGAACATATAGGCGTCCTTCAAAATATAATAGATTATTCTTGAACTCGAACTTAGAAGAATCATGAGACTTGGAAGAATTATTCTCGATATCATGAACAAGAGGGTCTGAGGACATACTGGACTGGATTTGCTTGAGAAAGGTTGAATCAACAGTCAATGTTGATTTCACTGCTCGGAGATGAAATTGCTCCGATTTCAAGAGGACCGTTCTTTGTTGCTCAAAAGCTGCATCTCCTTCTTTTGGTGCAAAATAAGAACGTCTAGACAGGGCATCGGACAAACCTTGTTGTTTTCCTGGCCGATAAGTGATAATGAAGTCGAATCTTGACAAAGACATACTCCAACGAGCTTGACGACGATTCAACACGCGTGCTGACATGAAATACTCGAGGTTCTTGTGATCTGTATACACAGTGACTGGACTAGAAGCACCTTCTAGATAATGACGCCATTCTTGAAAGGAATCCACGATTGCAAGAAGTTCTTTATCGTGGATCTCATAATTGATCTCGGCTGCTGAGAATTTTCTTGAATGAAAAGTTATCGGATGAAGTTTGTCATCTGTTCCCATTTGTGATAAAACTGCACCCAAGGCAAAATCCGATGCATCTGTTTCCATAAAAAATACCTTGGAAAAGTCAACACGATATAAGACTGGTGCAGAGACAAACGATGTCTTCAAGGCTTCAAATGCTGCTTCCGCTTCTTGATTCCATTGGAATTTATCTTTACTAGTCAAGCGTGTAAGTGGAGCTGCAACTCGTGAGAAGTCTTTGATGAAGATCCGATAGTAATTGGCAAATCCCAAGAAACATTGGACATCTCTTACAGTCTTTGGAATCTTCCAATCCATGATTGTTTGGACTTTCTTAGAATCCATCATAAGACCATCATTTGAAATGATGTATCCTAAAAAGTCAACTTGAGTAGTGTGAAATACACACTTTTCTATCTTGGCGTACAATCCTGCATCTCTAAGTTTTTGTAATACTTGACGAACATGTATTTCATGTTCTTCAACATTCTTAGAATAAATCAGGATATCGTCTAGGTAGCAGACGACAAAATTATCTAAGAATTCATGAAATACATCATTCATGAGATGTTGAAAAGCAGCTGGTGCATTCGTGAGTCCAAAAGGCATGACATTGTATTCAAAGTGTCCATACCTGGTTCGAAACGCAGTCTTCCATTCATCTCCTTCTTTGATCCGTACTAGATTATATGCTCTTCTTAGATCTATTTTTGTATAGATCTTAGCTTGATTTAACTGGTCAAGGAGTCCTGATATCAAAGATAATGGATACCTGTTCTTGATTGTGATCTTGTTGAGTCCTCGATAGTCAACACACATTCGTAAAGATCCATTTTTTTTCTTTACGAATAAAATTGGAGCTCCTGCTGGAGATTTTGAATGGCGTATGAAATTCTTCGCTAAATTCTCGTCAATATATGTCTTGAGTTCAGCCAACTCATCTTGCGATAAACTGTAAATTGGTCCAAATGGTGGCTGAGTTCCTTCCTTGAGATCGATTGAACAATCGTATGGGCGATGCTCAAGAAGAATATCTGCATTCTTTTTCTCAAAAACGTCTTGATAATCCTGATATTGACTTGGAATGCCACTTGAAGTCTTTACGCTTTCAGAAATAGGTGCAGTATAAATAGCAAAAGTTGATCCTTCTTTTGCTGCGTGTATAAATGCTTTTGCACCTATAAGTGCGGGTTTTACTATACTAGACTCATGGTTTTTTACTTGATTAATAGAACTGTTACTAATGCTCTGAGGAAAATCAAGTTTACGAGAAATCCAATCTATTCGAGGATTATACTTTTCTAACCATGATAAGCCTAAAATTACTGGATTAGAGGGAGATCTAATTATATTAAAAATTACGCAACTACTATGACCATTTATTACTACATCTACAGGAAGTGTTTCGTGAGTTACATCTCCAGAAGACAACGGACGACCATCTATGACTTCTACGTGTACAGGTTTAGTTTTTTGTATTAATGATATTCTATGACATCTAGCAAATTCTTCATCTAAAAAACAAGCTGAGGCTCCTGAATCTATCAAGGCAGAGGCTTTGTAATTATTAGGTCCTAAACGCACATCTATTATAAAACAAGGAGATGGTTCTGAGGAGAGGATAGGACCTTCATTAGAAGTTGTACAAGATTCCAGCCGCACGGTCCCTATTGTAGCTGGACGTACTCGTTTTCCGACATACTGTCTTCTTTGACAGCCGTACTCCTCATTTTGTAGTTACGTCGCTTCTTTGGACAATGTTGAGCAGTGTGCTTAGGTTCTCCACAATATAAGCACAATCCTTCTTGTCGACGACGAGACTTTTCTTGCTCAGTAAGAGGTTTGAAACGTACCGCATCAATTTGCATATCCTCTACTTCTGAAGGTATGTGTTGAGGAGACGTCGGTGTTGCCATTGAATTGTAGTAACGTTGAGGCCTACTTATGCGACTCTCGGATCGAAATTCAAAAAGTCGATTGTCGCACTTCACAGCAAAGTCAATTACTTGACTCAATGTTTGAGGATCAGGTAAATTAAGCATCAATTTCTTTACCTCATATTGTAATCCGTAGAGAAATTGACTCACAAGTGCGGCATCATCCCACTTGATATCAGTTGCAAGTTGTCGAAATTGCGAAGCATATAATGTTACTGATCGATTGCCTTGTCGCAAAATACGGATCTTGTTGGTTGCAACACGAATTGCATCATGTTCTCCAAACATGGATCGAAACTCCGCCAAAAAAGCCTCCAGATTATCCAATATTGGATCTCGTCGTTCAAGAAAAGATGAAAACCATGACAATGCTGAACCTGAAAGAAGTGTACCAATGAATCTAACTTGTGACCCTGGAGTTGGATAGCTCTGGGGTTGAAGTTCAATCACTAATTGGACCTGATTGATGAATCCTCGAAACTTGGATCTGGTACCATCAAACTTCTCGGGCAAGGCCACTCTCGATTCTCTAACACTCGAAGGGTGTTCCATTCTGGGAGAAGAGACATGGTTTGGTGCAGATGTTGAAGCAGCCCCAATCATCTCTATATCTTCACTTCCTACCATTCTTGTTGCTCCTTGTGGTGGTAAATTGAGTTGATGCATCGCAAGCATTAACTCCCTCAATTGTTCTTGCATCTGTGCCATTGCACTCTTCATTTCAACAAGCTCTTCCATAGTAGCACTTAGAAAAGAGAAGATGTCTAATAACGCTCAAAACAAATAGAAGAGAGGAATTGATAACAAAGAAAATACTAAGAACAATATCAGTTTAAAAGAGGGTAATCCGCAACTTCTAATGCGCTTATGTCTTATCAAGAAAAAGGGGTAATCCACTCTTAATCAAGAAAAGACAAAGCTCTCATATTGTAAGTGTACTCTTGTCAATCTGTCAAGGACAAGAACTCGATGAAAGCTAAAGAGTAAGTGAGACTTTTCTCAAAGAAATAGGACAAAATAGAAATATGTATATTAAGAAAGAAATTGGAATGGCTATTGCCGAAATACAAGAAAACTAGAGACCCTTGAAACTAGACTAGAAGCAAGAAAGGAGTTGACAAGAGTGAAGAGGGCTTCACTCTTGCCTCTATATATACTATCTAACTAGAAGCCACATGGCGATGTTCTATAAGACCTCCAATATATGTTGACTTTCTAGGCCACATGCCTTTGCTTGCAAGGCAAGTTTTCTATGGATGGACCACGTAGTTAGCTTGTTCTTTAAGCTTCCAACATGTGTGGCACATGGCTAACTTGTTGACCAAGTTTCTAGCCTAAAAGTCAACTATAGACTCCTATAAAGTCAAAGCAGCGTCTATGAAGCTTCTAAGAAGCTTCTCTAGAAGATATTACACAATTAACCTACTTTTATCTACTTTTACATACTTTTATCTATTCATATAGGTAATTATATGTATGTCCGTGACACACATGGAGAGCAGTGATAGGTTACAGTTTCTTTTCAATTTAATATATATTTTTGATTTAGAAATTCAAAATTTTTAAAAATTTACTTATTTTTTGGATAAACGACCATTCTCAAACCTACATATTAGCCAAAACACTAAAACACATAAAAATAGAACACCAATAAAAATGTTACAAAGGAATTAGGCTACTCATGTTCTCCAATTTTTATTTATTATATATATATATATATATATATATATTTTTCATTTTTTGTATATATATACCCCCAATCAATTCCCCTCCTGTAACATCCCCCATTACATACCAATCTTCTCAAAGTACTCCGAATCCAGCACTCACTCACTCACCCACTCAAAATCGAGATGTTTCATTTAAACTCATGTTCAGGAGTTAATGCACCCTCAGCATTACTCACTCACTCTCACTCACGCTCGCACAAGTAGGCAAGCGCGAATACGTAAAATACCCACCACACTACAATACTGTTTTTATACATATACAAAGGAGATACGATACGATACGATGCTGGTTCAGGGAAAGGCGAGAGAGAGAAGGAGAGGACGAGGAAGAGGAGGCGAGCGTGGTCGGAGGCATCGCCAGATTCGTGTGTGCTGTGTCGTTGAAGGGATCGCGGAGCATCGTGTCACCATTGCAACAGGTATTCATTTCCATGCCATGCCCCCCCGCGGAGGATTACATGCGCCGCCTCGCCGTTGTGCTGTGCTCGCCTTAAATTCCATCTGTGGTCACGGGAGCAGCGTCTTCGCTGCGACTCTGCAGCGAGGAATGGCAAAAGGGCTTTTGTGGGTTAGGTTTGCGCGGTCACGGAGCTCGTTTCGCGAGATGGGTTTTGGTTGAGTGTGAGATTTTGTGGGAATTTGTTTGATTGCTCTTGGGGGAGTTTTTTTTTTTTTTTTTTTTTTTTTTTTTTTTTCTTCTTCTTCTCGATTGCTTATCTTGATGTTTGCAATCTGGATTGTAATTGTGCGGCATCCCGTTGTGGGAAATTCGGGGAGTTGTGGTTGGGTCGCATGCGAGCATAATTCTGCTGGATTTTGGGCTGTTAACTGGTTTAAGGGTCACTATTATTGCGTAGCGTATTGAATATGTAGTGTAGGAACTGACTTGTGGAGCATGGGACTGCCTTGACGTCTGTAGTCTTGCTTAACTTCCACACATGTGAAGCTTGATTTTCTCTCATTGATAGCCTTTCGTGGGTTTTCCTTCGATTTCACTTTGTAACTTTAATTTACTTTATGCTTATGGAGCTCGGTTTGGTTTTCGATCTATTAGTGATGGTTGATTTGCTAGTTTTTTTGGTTCTACAGTCTTGACTTAAATTTTATCTCACTTCTACTAGGTTATTTGGGTTAGGTTCTGAACAAGCTTTACTAAGCAGGCATTGGATTAATCTTCTATCGAGGTGGATAATGTTGAGCTAACTTAGTGGATCTTTTTAAGCACAATGATTATGATGTTAGGTTGGTTGTTATTGGATTGCGTATGCCGAGTCTGTGCACGGGTTTTCATGACTGTGGAATTTAGAGCTAGAATAGTGTCATCGAAAACTGTTTACAAATATGCACAATTTTATACCTTAGCAAGCGGCGTTTCATCCCTTCCCTGTATTCTACGAAGAGGAAATGACTTTTCATAAGTAGCAACTGAAGATTTTGGAGGTTTCTTTTGTTGCACTTACCAATGAGATGTTGTTTGTATAGGGTACTCATATTCTCTCAAGGATTCAAGTTTATACAGAATTGTCTTCGTAAATTTGGCGTCGATTTGACCTAACTCTGGTTGGAGGGTTTTACGTAGGACTGTTAGTGGTTGGACGCTTTCTGGGGCACCCAGTATACCACCTCAGTATCGTCAACAGGCAAGTTTTAGTAGACGTTAGAGTTATTTGTGATGCAACATGCAGCAATGAATAACAATTCTGATTAGGTGAGTTCTAATGACAGCTGTTAGTTTTGCATTTAAATTAACAATGACCATGGCTTGATCGATGGTTTTTGTAGGTTTTAGATGACAGCATATTTCTTTGGTCAACCCAAACATTTGTATGTGTGTGTGTGTATATATATATTTACACACATGAGAGAGAGAGAGAGAGAGAGAGAGAGAGAGAGAGAGAGATATTGAAAATGCTCTCGTTGATTTGAAATAGAATTTGAAGGTTAGCATCTTTATTTTTAATTCCTGACGAAGATATTGTTGTTTTTCCACCAGATTGTTGTGGACGACCAAACATATTTTCACAGTATATACTATTTTAACTGGAACTGATGACTCGCAAACATTACCTTAAATCTTTCAATACTGCGGCTGCTTGAATTCATGTCATGTGAAGTGGCAGTAGTGGAAAATTTTGGTATTCTTTGGCACAATTCCTTCTTCGAACTGGTCCGATCACCTCTAAAGAAAAGAGACAGGTCATCATGGCTCAATGCGTAGGTGCTTTCTGTTGGCAAGCCAGTCTACAGCGACAATTATCTTGTCAAGTTTATGGCTCCAAAATACATATGCTCTCAAGTGTTTCAGTCTCTCCTTTCCTGGTGCGGACAACTTGGGAAGATTTGTCGGTGCCTCGGCTTCCCTCTGAATTGACTATCTCCGACAACTGTAGAGTTTCTTCAACGTACCCAGCAATTGTTTGCTTTAGAGATGATGATGCCCCTGAACTCCCGGTGGGTAGGGACTTGAGTGATTTAAGCGCTCGTACCAGTTTTGAAGTTAGATATAGTCCGTGGGCAATGCAAATGTTAAACGGATACGGAAAGAAGGATAAAAACGATTTTAAGGAGAGCACAGGTAGCTACTGAAAGGCAATCGTTGGTTTGGTCCACTTCATTATCTTCATTATCTTCTCTATCTCTCTTTGTGAATGAATATTCATATACCTCTGCATGTTTGGGCCATTGTGCAATTGTCAAGGCTTAGGCATTGTTTTTTAATTAGTACCTGTGACGGTGCGCTTGTCTTGGATCAGTTTTTTCACATTCACATGATCCCATGCAGGTGGGCCTCCAGGAAACGGCAAAGGAGGGGATGATGGAGGAGGCGATGGAGGGGGGGATGGGAGTGACGATGATGGAGAGGAACATATTTTTCTACTACCCATTTTGACACTTGCATTTGCAGCATTTCATTTGGGATATTGTATTGCTATCTGGGTGAAGGATGAAAGCTTGGACTTTGAATTCTTCCGCACTGGCCTCGGTTTGTTTGGTCTGCTAGCACTTGCAGCGGTGCGCTTGAATGCGTGAGTTGCCCTCTTTCCATCCAAGTTCAGAACTATATTTTCGTGTGTAGTTTCTTGTTTGTTCCTAAGCACGCATCGTATCGATTCGTTAGCGTTTCTTAAATATTGTTACTACCTGAAGGCTTCAGTTCCTTTAATCCTTTAAACGTTATTTCATCAATTCTTATTTGCAAAGTTGTTGTACTGACTAATTTATGTACTGAGTTCTAGTCCTGATTTTGACCCTAGTTGTTACTCTAATTTGGTCGGAATCTGATACCTGTGAATGTCTTGCAGACGGACAGGAATTGATGCTTACATTTTAGGGCTTGGAGCATCTGTAGGCGTTATGGTTTGGACAGGTAAGAAGTCTTCCTCCCAAGAAATATTATAAAATGGTTGACATTTTTTCCTTAACGGTTGGAGTTTAAAGTGGATCTTATCAACTTTAGAGGGGTTGAGTTTAACTCTAAAAAGTCGGTACTCCTTTTGTGATCAGGAGAACGGTGTCTGGTGAAAAGGGAAGGGCATCCAGCTGGTATAGTAGCTCTATTTGCAGCCTCAATGGCTGTCATGTTTACGGCAGCTTTATATCATACTTTCTGAGTCCTCAAAGGACTGACAAGCCACACAATTCAACAACTCTTCGATAGGATCGCCTTGGTATGACGTAATAACCTTAAAAAGAAAAAAAACATCGCTAATCAGGTGTTCACCATTTCCATTCCTTCGCATAGGTTGTTGATTAAGTCACCCAGTGGTGCTGAAGTAGCTGGTTGTTGAAAGCCGCGGCTATTTGTGGGCGTAGTGAGAGTGAGCGTTTCAATATGTCAACCCTGGTTGATTGAAGTCCAAAAATGGGTACAATTGACCTAATATTAGTTGACGCTCAGTTTGTAAATACAATACAACGTGGTTCAATGATCCACAGCTATAGACCAATTTCTTTGGCATTGGACGGTCTTCGTTAGATTTGTACATAAATTAATTTCCAAGTTCGGAAGCTTGAGACTGCATCTTTAGTATGACCGTGGAGGTCACATGAGATGTGTACATTATTTATCTTTTTGAGTGTTTATTGTCTATTGTCAAAAATTACGATTTAAGGGAACGGGAGAAGGAGTCTCCTTGGTGTTTTCATGTGCAATTTTTGTGAGGTTTAGTTATCTGAATGCAAATGCGACCAGGTTAAGTAGGTCAGCATGTTATCCAAAAACCTATGATAGAAGATACTATTATAAATATGGTTTTTGGAATCTTTCAATGCCGAGGGATGTCGATTATGGTTCAATGTGCGATGTAATAATCATGTTAAGGAAATGGCAAGAACTGCTAAAACTATTCTTCAAGCAAAAGTTGGTTTTATCTTCTAGTTTTTGTTTTGGATATTACAATATTGTGCTCTTAATTTGTATAGTTCATTTTTTAAAGTAGAATATGTATAGTGATGTTTATTAACTTTATGCACATTCTAATCTTAAATTGCAAGTATAGAAATAATAATATATAAAAAAGCTTTTTTTTATAAAAAATATTTTATGATTTGAAAAATTCAAATAAGAATCTTAAAAGAGTGCATGAATTTATATATATATATATATATATATATACATATAATTTATGTATATTAATTAATAAACTAGAGTTTTTTAGCTCTTAAAATATGTTATCATTAAGTATATTAAGTTCACTAAAATAACATTTTGATGTATATGAATTATAACAACTTAGCTTCTATGGTTTTTTATGTAATAATATAATATAATATCAAATAAAATCACAATGACATAAATAACATTATATATATATATATATATATATATATATATATAGAAGTATTAAATAGACGTAAGTTTTTAATAAATCAACCCTTCCATCATAACCATCATAAATAAAAAAAAAAAGACCTTTAGATTCATTTCTCTACTATTGAATCTACAATCAATAAGAACCAACCACATTCATCATGATTACCATATTCTTCATCAAAAGTGGGTCTATTTAATAAAAGCATGTGTCTGTTTAACATTTTTTTTTTCTCTCTCTCTCTCTCTCTCTCTATATATATATATATATATATATATATACACACACAATTAACATTGTACACAAGTATATTGTCTATAGGTGTATACTTTGTTTACAAATAAAAACTTTTGGAACCAATATGTATAATATATAAAAATCTTGCCCAATGTATATATATTTTTCTAGGATCTAAAACATAATTAGAATTATATTTTATTATTATTATAATTATTATTTATACATATATAGAAGTGGATTATAATTTGATTTCTTATATTTTAGTAAGTTTTTATTTCTATTAAAAAATAGCTAAGCTAAATACAAAGGTGGAATATAAAGTCATCAAATATATTTTGTACCATACTTGTTTAAATTTAAAATAAAATAAAAAGTAGTTTCTTTTGTTGAATTTCTTAAAATTCTATATTATCTATAGGGTCTATATTCTAATTAAACAACTCAATGACAAAACATTGTCAAATTATAAAACAACCATTAGGTGAAAGAAAAAAAGAAGAATTATTACATAAAAGAGCTTAATTGAAAATATAATAGCAAGTTACTTTAGAAAATATAGGTGAAAGTTAGGCAAGTAATGAAAAAATAAAAATAGTGTCTATATTTCTTTTTGTTAAAAAAAACTTCTATATATTTTGTAGGACCATAAATAAGACAAAAAAATAGTAGCAAACATAGGTTAACAAAAAAAACATTATAGAAATCTTTAAGTGAAAGAAAAGATTAGTTGTCACTAAAAACTATCTAGAAAAATCTTGGATTGATATCATGAGAGATTTGATTGTGAATCACGGTCAAAAGTAAACGTCAAGGCATAAAATCGCATACCTATGGCAAATGTGGTATTTTATTGTTGATTGGAGAGAGAAATTGAGAGGCAAACTTAATAGGGTTTCTTTAAGCATTAGCTTCGAGAGATTTGAGTGGATAATGACTTTGTGAATGCTTTGCAAAGTCAATGTTGTTTTTGGATGATTCTACTTTTTGTGGAGTTAAAAAGAATTTATATTTTTGTGAATTTTGTAAGATATGTGGTAAATCTATAGATGAAAATTTGTAAATATGTGAAAATAATTGTGTTAAATGTGTATTATCAAATTGAGCTTAGTTGGAAGATTAGATCAAAGGTTATAGAAATTCAAAAAGATTAGGGTCTCAAAAATTAGATTTTGAGGATTAGTGAGAGTTTATATGATTTTGAGCAATTTTCTCATTGGATTAAAATGCTATTTTTGTGAGCTGATATTTGATTGAGTTTTCAACATTTGTAAAAAGTTTTAGGATAAGTAAATGGTGTAAAAACAAACTTTTGACACTAGAAGATTGACATTAAGGTTGGAAAAAGATAATGGCCAACATTCAAAAAAATTATGAATTTTTTCTTTCATTTGTGAAATTATTTTTCTTTAAAATAATTTGTGCTTGTTTTTAACTAATATCTTAAGAAATGTTAAAATTTCAAATGAAATTAATAATGGAATCAATAGTTATTAAAGTTTTAATTTTGCTTTAAAATTTACTTAATATTCAATTAAAATTTATTAGGATTTACATGAATTTTTATTATGATTTTATTAGGATTTTTTAAAAATTACTTAAGAATTGATTATGCTTGCTTAAGATTTATTGAAGATTTTTTAAGGATTTTTTTTATAGATTTCTTTAAGATTAAATTAAGTTTTTTTAGGATTAATTTTGATTAATTAAGGTCTATTTATGATTTGATTAAGATTTAATTAAGATTATTAAGGATTTTTTAAGATTAATTTGGAATTAATTAAAGTATATTAAGATATTTTAAAGATTTTTTTCATCTTTTTTTTTATCATATTTCTTTTTGTTATATTTTTTTTGTCATCTTTTTTTAAGACACATCTTACCTATTTAATTTTATTCTTTAAGTTTTTATCTTTGATATTATTAGTAAAATTTTAGTATATATTTATTGTTTCTTTTATAAAATTGATTTATCAATGAACATTTATTAGCTGATGGATTCTCAAGGATATGAATCTCAAAGAGAGAAATGGTCAATATACTCCTATGTCATTGGAAAGGACTAGAAAGTTATTCAAAGATGATATAATATTGAATTAGAATGGCTATTGCCAAAAACAAGAAGATTAGAAAGTCTTGAAATAAGAGTAAGGATTAGAAAGGCATTGACAATAGTGAAGAAGGCTTCACTCTTGCCTCCATATACACTCTTAACTAGGAACTACATGGCAATGTCCTACATGACCTTCAAAACGTGTTGATTACAAGATACATATCTTAACTTGCAAGGTAAGTTTTTTATATGTGCGCTACATAGTTAGCTTATTCCACAAGCTATCAACACGTGGTTAATTTGTTGACCAAGTTTCTAACCTATCAATTAACTACAAATACATATAAAGTCAAAGTATTGCCTACTTCTACCTAATCATGTAGATATTTATTAGAGTACCTATGTATATCCATGATGTTATTTCTCCTTCTAAAGACAAGTTCTATGAGGAGTGATCATCATGTATCAATAAAATCCAAGATGCAACAAATTATATTTGTTACATACTCTAATCTTTTTTTTTTTTGAAGATAGTTGATAGGTCCTCTTAGCCATTGATAATATTCCATACCAAGGCAAGAAGACCACTGTGTTATTTGATCATTGTTGAGGCCTTTGTAACTTCTTTCAAATAAAATATTTGGAACACCTTCAAGAATTGTTCCAACTTTTAATAAAATTACTTAACATCGGGAGTCTCTTCTAAGGTCGTGATACCAAACTTCTTCTATCTCGCCATTTATTTAAGGAAAAATATGTCGTTCTTGAGGATCTTTATTTTGATTACATTGTCTTGAAGGTTGTGACAATTGCAATGTTTCATCTAGAAAGAAAGAAAATAAAAGCTCTTGAATAGAACGTGCTGGTTATTGGTTCTCCATCTCTTTAGCGTCACAAATATACAAAAGTTATAAAGAAAGATAGAATGTAGAGTATTATCTTCCTTTGATAATATTTCTCGAATAGCAAAGATTTATTATTCTTCATCTTGATTTAGTTAGATAGATGTTGTCAATGAAAAGCTTCAACTTTCTTTATTGGCTTCCATGTGCATTTATTAATGTCATATCGATGCCAATAAACAAGATATTTCAATTTATTTTGGCAACACCTTGAATCTAAGACTTCTTCCACATTGAATTCTTGATTATTATCTACTTTTATAGAAGGAAGTGGCATTTATCTTCTTTTCAAGATATTCACCATCTTATATGACTCAAGAAGAGATACATGAAATATGGGATCAATCGTCATAGACTCCAATAGATATAATTGATAAGCAATAAGATTGATTTGTTTACTAATAGGAAAAGGTCCAAGCCTACAATAGTCCAACTTGTCACAAAGATGAGTAGTCTTGATATTGTGACAAAATAATCATATCTTATGACCTACGTTGAATTGTAATTATTCCTTGCAATAAGCATCTATATTAATTTTTTTGTTATTTTTGAGCTTCTTTTAACTACACCTTTATTGTTGCATGTAGCTTTGACAAACAATTTGTCAAATCATCTACTACAAGATTATCAACTTTTAAAAAGCCAAAAGTATGAATTCATGGATGATAATCATAATCAACAAAGAAAGATGTTTATTAAGTAGAAAAATGTATCAAATTATTATGCACAAACTCTACCAATGATAAAAGAGTTGTTCAATCATCTTGATGATAGTTGATGGTACACTTGAAGTGTTGCTTCAAAATTTGATTCATCCATTCTATTTATCCATCAATTTGAGGATGAAAAGTCAAAGAGAGCTTTATATCCATCTTTAAAATCTTGAAAAGGATTCTCCAAAATCTTGATATAAATTAAGTCCTTCTATTTAATATAATATCTTTAAACAATCTATGATAGCAATAGATATTATTAAAAAAAAGCTTAGCTATTTTTTCACTTGTGATAGATTTTGTATATGGTACAAAATATGCCATCTTGATAAAACAATCTATTACTATAAATATAGAATCATACAAATTTGAGACTAGAAGATCTATAATAAAATCT